CGCAAGATCTAGCACTGGACCCGCTCGCTGCTGGCCATGTGGGAATCCATTACTTGCTGGCCCCTGATCAAGTATTTCTTTCTCCTTCATGCTACTGCCAGGTAAAGAGTGTCACTCCAAAAAGCAGACAGTGGCCTTCTTCATGAGCAGCAAGTGCTCGATCCTGCTCCCAGCAGCGTTAACGAGGGCTAACGTGCGCCAGGCATGAGATGCCATGAGATACAGAACAATGAGTAAGACAGCCCACGAGGCTCACAACGGTGTTTACCCCCAGGAGGCTCACAGTCTGGTAGCACAGATATGAGACCCACAAACAAAACGGAAAAGCACAGAGTGATTGGGAGTTTTATATGCCGACTTGGCGGAGCGCCAGTTCTTGGTTGTTCATAGTCCAGACTGTTGTGAATACTTGCAAATGTGATTACCGTTTGTGATCAGTTCACTTTAAGGATAGCACATCACCCTCTACAATGTGATTCATCTAGTCAGTTGAAGGCCTTGCACATACTGAGGTTTCCCAAGAAAGGAGTTCTGCCTCAAGGCTACAATCTAAAAATCCTGCCTGAGTTTCTAGCCTTCTGGCCTGCCCGTGCAGTTAGGATTCAACGCTGTCACATCAACCTCACCTACACTTCCAACCTGCCAACCTGCTCCAAGACTGCAGCTTGCTAGCCAAAGCCCATTTCCTAAAACCAACCAACCAACCAATCTCTCTCTCAATACATATATCAATCAATATATATCAATCAATCTCTCTCTGTATGTGTGTGTGTATGTGTGTAAAAATCTCCTGTTGGTTTTCTTTTCTTTCTTTTTTTGTTTTTTTTTTTTTTGAGAATTTTTTGCTATAGGGCGCATGCACTCACCAGGAAGACAGAGAGAGATAGAAAGTGAGAAATCACTCCCCAAGGGGTATGGCCATGCCGCAATCCCTTTTCCTCCATTCTCCACTCGGGATCTTGGGCATGCATGCACACGCGTCCAGTGTGAGTTTAAGTCACCGGGACCGGAACTTGAACCACAGTCGACTACTTGGGAGTCCAGCGACATAGCCATCATGCTAACTGCTGATCCCTCCTACTGGTTTTCTGAAGAGCCCTGCCTGATACACTAGTAAAGAAGGGCAGTGTCAGTTATGCTGCCCATTCAGGAGGATCACTGATCACTAGCAGGCCTCCCTGTTCCTTGCAACCAGGCAAGCTCTGTCTCCAGTTCCTAAGAGAATCATCCACTGACCTCACATTCACTCTAAGTCAGTGGACAGTGATTATTAGGAAAGGAGGGCAGCATGGCACCCAAACTGGCAGAGACTTCTCTATGAACTCTGTTAAGTTTGATTAATCCCTCTATATTACATACTTATGAATTCAGTCCATGATTTTCACGTGCTTTTCTATCCCTTACTTAAATTCCTCAGTATTCTCTACAGTGACGCAGTAAGAGCCTGATCACAATCTTCGTGAGTCTTTGAGATACAGAAAGATGGGGAGAAAGTAACCTCCCACTGGGACATGGTCATGCCACAATCTCTTATCCTTCATTTCTCTATCCTACAGGGATCTGGAGTACACACACGTGTCACCAGGCCCAGGATCAAAGCGTTTGGTTGGCCATGTGGGATCTTGCTGCCTTAGCCACTAGGCCACAGGCAAGCTGCCTGGGTGTCTTTAGGACATTTCTGCTACCGGGAAAAGTTCCTGCCAATTCCGATGTTGAACTGCCTTCCTTTCTAATAATCAGTGTTTTCACTTACATAGAACGTGGAGTCTGAAGCCTTTGTATGCTTCTTCATCTGGAAAGGTCTATTTTAATTCTAAATGTTTTTCATTCTCTGGTTAAGGTTGTCATGGAGTTTATTTTTTTATTTTCTTTTTCCCCCATTTCCCTCTAAATCATTTGGCAGAGAAGATATTGCCTTAAATCATCCTGTCTAGCTAACAGTATAGTGCTGGCGTAAGTCATCTCTCTTATAGAAAAGGCGTGTTAGAAATGTCAGCTAAGTACCACGCAGCAATGTCACACTGCCCCTCTACTCTGGTGCAGGAGCCCCACGAAACAGCCGGTGCTGATTCTGGTATTTCAGACTGATCGCTTGTCTCTTTCTTACTACTCCCACCAGCATTATGTTTAATCTACATTCACCCATGACACACCGCAACTTGTTGATTTTGTAACTACTCCGCATATAAGTAAAATGCATCCGAGACACAAAACCCCAATAAGATAATTGCTAACTTCTTATAAAATCAAACCTGCCCAACTGAATGTACTTTTATCAGAACAGCTAGTTCTCAGGCATGTTTAGTGCAACAAGAACTCAAAATTCATTTGTAATTAACTAACTATAGAGTCTACGTTATATACCACTCAGGTAGAGCACTCCAACTGCTATTAATTAAATCAAAATATTTCTAAATGGAATACGGTATATAAAATTCGTACACGTGTACATGACAACTGGGAGAGTTAAAAGCTCTCCTCTCTTTCACAAATCATAATATAAAGTACCTTAGAAGACATTTGTAAGAAAAAATATCCCAGCCAGCTATTTTACAGAATTATTTAGTATCACGTCAAGTCTAAATGTTCTCTTTAATCGCAACATGCAGTTATCAGTCACAGACAACATGCAGCATGCAGTAAACGGACAGCAGAGGTTAATAACCTGGAAGCATAGGATCTGAGAATGTGAGAGCAAGTTAGAGACAAGAGTTCCTCTCCATTGTCACTGAGGGTCGAGAAGCAACGCTGAAGCGTAGAACAGTGAGAGTGGGGGAAATACAGTTTGTCCAACACATACACATATCTCCGCAAGTGGCGGCAGGTATAACTGAAAGACAAAGGTAAAAGGAGAGAAACAGAAAGAGAGGAGTTTTCCTTTGAAGAAAAAGAAAATAAATCATCACTTATGTCCTCAAAGTTTTCTGTGTATTGTCACTAGATGATGCCCAAGAAAGAACTGTTAAAAGAGGACATTAAAAAAAAAACATAAAAAAGATGAACAACTTTGATTAAAAAAAAAAAGGGGGTGGGGGGCAACAGATCTGAACAGACACTACATTAAAGGAGATATGTGGATGCCAAATAAGCCTATGGCAAGGTGCTCGTATCACATGTCATTAGGAAAATGCGAATTAAAAACTTTAGTGTGATTCCACTAAAGATCTATTAGAATAGCTAAATAGCTAGATCATCGATAACACCCAACGCTGGCACAGGGTAGGGGCGACAGGCTCTCATTCTTTGCTGGTGGGAGTGTAAGATGGTACAGCCTCTTTGGAAGACAGGTCGGCAGTTTCTTACAAAACTAAACAAATTCTTATCATGCAATCCAGCAATTGCGCTCCTGAGAATTTACCCAAAGGAGTTGAAAACATATGTCCATACAAAAACCTAAAACAGTTGTGTATAGCAGCTTTATTCAGAATTAGCAAAACTTGCAAGCAACCAAGATGTCCTTCAGTAGAAAAATGGATAAACCGTGACACACCCAGACAATAAAATACTATTCAGTGCTAAGAAGAAATGAACTTTCAAGTCATGAAAAGACATAAAGGAACTGTATTTTATTAACTGAAGGAAGCCCATCTGAAAAGTCTACATAATATGTGATTTCAACAATGGACATGCTGGAAAAGGGAAAACAATGGAGACAATACAAAAAATTAGTGGCCAACAAGGGTTGTGGAGGAGGGAGGGATGACTAGGCAAAGCACAGAGGATTTTTAGGGCAGTGAAAATATTTTGTATGATATGGCAGTGGTGGATACATATCATCATACATTTGTCAGAACAAACTTACAGAACGTCCAAAACCAAGAGCGAACCCTAATATAAACTAGGAACTTGGGGTATAATGGTATATCAATGTAGGTTCATCAACTGCAACAAACATTCCACTTGTACAGGATGCTGATAGTCAGAGAGGTTGAGGGAAGCTGATATTGTCCAAGATAAAGTAGAGTTTAAAAATGTTTCAAAACTGGCTTATACTTAAATAGGTACTTCTACTGAGTCTTAGAAAGAACTCAATGTACCAAAAGACAGCAAAAACTTAAGAAACTATAAAAACTGTGTTCTTTAAAAATGTGAATCACTGGGGCCAGCAGGTGGTGTGATGGTTAACGTGCTGGACTCCCACATGGCCAATCGCAGTTCAAGTCCCAGGACCCAGCAGCTTAAAAATGATGCCAGGTGCGTGTGTACATGCCCAACATTCCAAGAGGAGACTGAGGAGAAGGGACTGCAGCATGGTCATCTCCCTGGGTGGTGATTTCTCACTTTCTCTCTCTCTCTCTCTCTAGTGAATATATGTGCCCAATAGCAAAAACGAACAAAGAAAGCCTGTTCTGTATTCTTAAAATCATGAAGGTCCTTAAAGGCATAAAAGACCAAGAGATGGTTCCAATTAATGAAGACAACAGAGAATAACTAAATTTAACATGTGATTTTGATACTGGATCTTCCACGACAGGGGCAAACGGGTATTTTTTCTTTTTCTACAGAGGAAATTAATGAGGAAAAATGACAAAATCTGAATGTCTGCAGATTAGATAATGGTATTTAATAATGTTAATTTCCTGATTTTGATAAATGTCTTTGTTTTTAAGAAACACAACCTTAAGTACTTAGTGGTAAAGGTACATCACATCTATAAACTTATAAACATTTCAAAACTGGGAGACATGCACAATGATAAAGAAAATGTGGTAAAATTTTAACATTTGGGAATCCAAGTATTATAAAAGATAAATGAAAATTCTTCAGACTTGTTCCATGTTTTTTTTATAAGTCCATGATTTTGAGATAAAAAGTTTTTAAAAATGAATGCAGTATTAGAACATCAAAGAATCTAATTTATTTGCATTCCGCCCCCCCCTCCAAAAAAAAAAAAAAAACAAAACAGAACTGGTTGTTTCAATAAACTGAGTAATGCCTATTTTAAGATTATGAGATTCATATCTAGAGACCTGAAATGTCATTTTGACCTCTATACTTAAAGTTGGGAACATCAGAAAAACTAGAACGTGGGAAGTAAGCAAATGTGGCCTGGAGCTATCCCATAAAAAACAGTCACTGTTACTTAAGAGTTGCACTTTCATAAAAATATAAAATTTCCTTAGTGCCTTCTTATAGGAAAATGCCCAAGATTATGCAATGTATAGTTCTGAAATGTTACTTGATATGGTTATGCTTCACCAAAGTATGAAAATGTTGTCCTAGAACAACATTCAAGTCTATAAAAGATGCCAAAAACCACAAGCCAAAGAGTAATGCTTAAAAAAGACCCCAGAGTCAAGTTTTCTAAGAATGCATTCTTCGGTACTTTGACAATAAAATTATAACACAATTTCATAGCAACTTTTTACTCACTTATCTGCTTTTTATTTTTAAATGTCAGAGGACATCTGTGCTTGCCAGAGATGGAGAGACAGAGAGAGTTAAAGAGAGAAAGCACCCACAGTGGGATGTGGTCACACCATAATCCCTTCTCTTCCATTTCTCCATCACATTGGAATGTGGGGCATGCATAAACACCCAGCATGATTTTTCAAGCCACCATGGCTGGGATTCGAACTGTGGTTGTTCATGTAGGATCACTCAGCTACTAGGATACATGGTTGGCCCTGACTTATATCCTTATTTATATGCTTAAATAAATTTCAAAGAAAAATCAGATTAAGAGAAAATATGGAATATCCAGAATATTCTGTATATCCTTTTTTTCCCTTTTTTTTGGAGAGGTTTTTTGCTATTTTGCTCTAAGGCGTGTGTGCTCGCCAGAAAGACAGAGAGAGACAGAGAGACAGAAAGAAAGAAATCACCCCCCAGGGGGGATGGTCATGCTGCAATCCCTTCTCCTCCACTGTCCTCTCAGGATCTTGGGCACGCACGCACACGCGCCCGGCACGTGCTTAAGCCACCAGGTCTGGGACTCGAACCACAGTCAACTACATGGGCATCCAGCAACATAGCCACTATGCTAACTGCTGGTCCCTGTAGATCCTTTTCTACCCTCCTTCATTCCTTTTCTTTTCTTTCCTTCTCTCACCCTCTTTTTTTCATTCATTTCCTCCCTCTTCTTCCCCTCCTCTCTCCCTCCCTCTCCTCCTTTTCTTTCTTAGAGAAAGTTCATTAGCAGATCCATTCATAGACACAAAACAGTAAGAAATTAAATTAGTAATAAATCTTTAGGGCCTAGAAAAATTACAAAAGTTTACTTTGGGGCATGAAAGAAATATTAAATAAGTAAAAAGGCATCAGCATGTTTCGAGGTGGGAAAATAAAATTTTGTAAAGGATGCTATTATTCTTCATTGACTAAAAATCTCAATAGTAATATTGGATTTTGAAACTATAATTATCTTACAGCAATCCCCCAATTTTTTAGGTGGTCATCTCAAAGGTCAATAAAAGACATAGGTTCCATGGGACCAGCAGATGGCGAAATGGTTATGACGTTACACTCCCACGTAGTCAACTATGGTTTGAATCCCAGACCTGGTAGCTTAAAATTCATGTTGGGCATGTTTGTGTGCGTGCCCAAAATCATGAGAGGAGAATGGAGGAGAAGAGATTGAGGTGTTTGTGGGAGGGGTTGATTTCTCGCTTTCTGCCTCTCTCTGTCTTTCTGGCGAGTGCATGTGCTCTATAGCAAAAATCCACTCAAAAAAAAAAAAATAGACATGGCTCTCAGGCACAGTGCTAATTCGTCACTTGCAAGAAGCTGGATCACATGGTAACTGGTTCAAATTCTGGTCTGTTAGCCTGAAACGTGCCAGGCACAAAAGCCTATGTGCCCAGGATGCACTGGGCTGAGAGAAAGGGGATCAGGGCATGACTGGTCCTGTGGAGGGTGTCCATCCCTAGCAAGTGTACCGTCTTCTACCTACTATGAATAAAGAGGGGAAAAGAAGACAGGGATGCCCTTACAGAAAAATGTACCAAGTCGTATACATACAATTTTAACTAAAATTTCTAGATCTTCACAAAGCCCCTCGAACTCAATTCATATTACTTCATGCCCCAGATTCAAAAAGCATGTATTGAACCACTGCATAGAAGAAAAAAACAAAAACAAAAACAATACGTGAAAAGTGCCAGGAAGGGTTTGGGTAGTGGCACAGCAATAAAATGCAGTGTTCTGAGAGGCTGACCCTCACGGGAAGGTTCTGCGATTGTGCTGAAGACCACCCTGAATATACCAGGCACCCGGTGCCCAGGGATGGCTGAGGCTGGAATAAGACTCTGTTGGAATGTGTGTATATTCTCTCTTTTTGCTGTGCTCATGGGAAAAATAAACTTTAAAAAAGGGCCAAGACGACTTTGCAAAAGAAGAGTAGTAAGGAGGGATTTAATCTTTTTATTCAAATACATAAGGCTACAATAATAAACATAATTGATGGGCCAGCTGGTGGTTAAGGAGGCTGGGTCCCACATGGCTGATTGTGCAGTTTGATTCCTAGATCCGGCAGCTTGAAAAACACGCCGGGCACATATGCATATATGCCCAAAATCCCCAGAGGAGAATGGAGGAGAAAGAACTGTGGCATGACTATCTTCCTGTGGAGGTGCTTTCTCACTCTCCCTCTTTCTCTAGTGAATGCACATGCCCTATAGCAATTTTTTTTTTTTTTTTTTTGGAGAGGTTTTTTCTATAGGGCACGTGCATTTGCCAGAAAGACAGAGAGAGACAGAGGCAGAAAGCGAGAAGTCACCCCCAAGGGGGGATGGCCACACCGCAATCCCTTCTCCTCCATTCTCTTCTCAGGATCTTGGGCATGCACACACATGCACCCAGCGTGAGTTCAAGCCACCAGGTCCAGGACTC